GAATTCTGGGAGTTGAAGTCCACTCATCTTAAAGTGGCCAAGTTTGGACAACACTGGGCTGGGTTGACCCAGCCAAGGAATCCCCCAACAAGGACACACAGGTGGAAAAAATCAGGCTTAGCAGGTTATGTAAACGCAGCTAACATGGCTTTACCTCACCCGACTGTGCCTTCTGCTAACTCAAATCTGGAACCTAGATCTCAAGTACAAATCCAGGTTGCCCTGGGATCTGCGAAACTAGAGGCAAGGAAGAAAAACCCATTCAAAAATCCCTGATTCTGGACAGCAGATTTCGCAACCAAAGCTGCTGTTCTGCCCCCAGGTCATCCTTGAACACTACAACTGATTTCTGCATGCAGCTTGTCTTTCAAAGAGGTAGAGAATGGGACCAGTGTAACAGGAACTGACAGAGGACATTTGTGTGCGGAAACTTCCTTTCCATAAGAGACCGTAAGAAAAGGGACTTCAGGGTCTTCTGTCTGTCTCTGTCTCTCTCTTTCCCTTGTTAAAAGAGATGCCAAGGAGGATGTGGAAGGCTGGAACTGCTGATGGGACCTCCTGAGGAACTAAAAGCGATAAACAAACTGAAGTTAGTCCAGACAAGACTAAGACATTCTAGTGATTGCATTTGTTCAGGCTGTAGTAGCATGTCCTAGGAAGGACTAGGTGGCCAGTCTGGATGTTCTGGACTAGTCATGATACGGCTTAATCGCCTCCCATTCTGAATGCTGTAACATATTCTACTTTTGAAAACTGACCAGAAACTACACCCAATGCAAAATACACAGCAAGCATTGTTATTATTATTTTATCACTCTTCTTCTCACAGCAGCCCAGAGTAGTGTACACAACAAATACAATCTGCTATAAAAAAAATCTAAGAGGTCTCATTATGCAAAGACCTATCCCTCTAGAGAAGGCTCCGATGCTGGAAAAGGTGGAAGGAAAGAGAAGAAGAGGACGACCAGTGGCAAGGTGGATGGACTCAGTTACAGTGGCAATGGGTGCTCCATTGGAAGAGCTGAAGGACCAGGTGAGAGACAGATCATCATGGAGAAAATCTATCTACGAGGTCACTAACGGTCAACACCAACTTGATGGCACCTAATTCAGTCAGTCAGTCAAGAAGCCTCACTGTCCTTGGATCAATTTCATTAACTTCCATAGTTTGTTTCCAAGTCAAGATCCTAGTTCCATAGAGCTGAACAGTTCAGAGATGCAACTAAGAGATACAAAAGAGGCCAGAAGATCTACTTTTTCTCTTAGGAAGCTGTTTATAATTTGCTTCTTTTCTTAAAGAGTTTGGGGTATGTCCCATCATCTATACAAAATAGGCTGGAGCCCAGGCAAGCCAGTGACTCTCTAACAGCAACACTCTTATTGTGAAGTTTCCTCTGGTCCTTGCTTTATCATCCTTTAGACAGCCAATAAAGGCTGGATTATTTCATTGACTTTTTCATGGTGTTATTTTAAGCGGAATATTCCACTCCTGCTTTCACTGTACTGATACAATGCAATTTGTTTTACAGGGCTGTTACTGCTACACTTATCAGAATGTTATATGTGAGGTTAAGCGCTTGGTGGGCAGAGAAGCTGCGAATGCTTTGGAGACATTTGGAGGATGTGCATCACATGAACACCTCACTCCTGTTAATTAAAACAGCCACATCTTTTCCTGTGCATCCATGCAAGCCCAAAAGATGCTATAGCTGCTTTAAAGAACTAAGTCATTTTCAGGTTTCCATACAACGTCTAAAGCACTTTTTCTACATCATTAGTTCTGTACCTAATAAATCAGTCAGGTAATTAGCTGTCCCCTAGTAAATAAGAATTTTTATTGTTGTAACCACAGGTCATAACACACTCAGACACCAACAATTTAAAATACAGTAACAAATGCAAACATTAGAAACATTCTAAGAATGCCTAAAATTACAGCTGTAAAACAAGTAACAAGTTTAAGCCTAGAGCCACAACCTACCTGGCATCTAGTAAAATTAACTATTTTCTAATTTTAACAGACAATAAAGTTAGCACTTGCTGCTAATATAAAGAAATGCATTTGCTAATAAAAGGTTAATGCGATCTGTTTCAGAGGCTGCAAATCTGCCAATGTTATGGCCTGGCATTTTTGGTCTAATTGTTCTACAGAAAGGTCAATACAGAACATAGTTTTTAATATACTCCACTTGTCCCCGACCACAAGAGTAAAGGCATTTTTTTCAACGGGAGTTTTAGAGAATCTTCCCTCAAGAGAGGCTGTGTGTGGGGAAGTAGATGGTTCCTTAATGGGGCACCAGAAAGTTCAGTTAAGTATTGTGAGAAGGTCTCATCTTACTTGCAACAAGAATACCACAAGGAAAGCTTTAAATGTTGAATTAGCATTTTACCTTGCATCCTGCAAAAAGAACCAATCAAGGATCTTTTCACTGTCCCAAAGCTTCAGATTCCCCAGTGGCAGAAGACACAACCACATATTTTCCCAGTGGGTTCCCTCATGTTAATGCCAGTAACACAATTTAACTCAACAGTCCTCCAAGAGGCTATCAAGTTTCTTGAAATATTTTAGCAATTTCCAGTGAACTCTGTTCAAGATTGAGGGTAACCCTGTTTCCATTCTCAAAGCTGCAGAACTTCCCTTAAAAAGTTATTCTGAACTGACTCTAAATTAGCAACCCCATTTGCAGTCCACGTTCCACAGAAGAGCTACCTTACTCTGAAACCTTTGGGGGGGGGCTCTTAATTGTCTTGCTTTAGCCATCTACCTGCTCTTGAATGCACTTACCAAAGCTGTGTATCCAAAAGGGTCTGGCTCACTGGGCTTCCCATGGCTCAGGATGTGCCTCTTGACCCCCTCCAGGTCTCCATTCAGTGCAGCATTCCAGATCCCTATGCAAACAATTTTTTTTTTTAATATTTTAGGTTTTGGTAAACCCTTTTGCTAGGATTCAGAATAGAGAACACCATCTTAAAACTGGCTACAGGCTTTAATCAGTCAATCAGAAACCCTCCCTATGCTGGAACTGCAACTCCCCAAATTCTCAGCCACTCCCTTTTCAGATTGTGCTTAAATCCAAACTCCACAACTTCATGTGCTTTCCTCTCCTTTCCTTATATTGCTTAATAACCAGTGTGATGAAGGGTCCTGGAGAAATGGAAAACCCCCTTACTATTTGGCAGTATCTTGACTGGCTCTAAAAAAACATACTGTCCAGCAATGGACTCTGGTTTTTTTATTTTCTTTTTTAAAACAGAGATATACTGTATTTTCAAAAAAACATAATGTCTCTGGACAGATAGTTACCATGACTGTACAACTGATGCTCCATATGTTAACAAAAAATACCAAGTACATTGAGTTGTTTTCACAATATTAAAAAGGAAAAAAAGAAATATGAATTTTTGAGCTTAGTAAAATCTTCACTATATTGTTCATAAATATTAAAAGAAGAAAGGAAAGGGAAAAAGAAGAGAAAAACATCTCTAAAAGCAATATAGATAAATGTGATTTTTTTACTTCCCACTTCTTCATTCCCTAACCAATTTGCAGTATCTATTGGTATAAACTTTAGAAACCATGCTCTAAATGCTGTTGTTTTTTTTCTTGTAGACTAACACAGCTACCTTTGCTTCCCGTGCACCCTGGAGAGTACCACAAAAAGTGAGTTGAAGAGACAAAAGTCTGGTGCTTTGTATTTTGAAAAAAAAAGCCCTAACTTTAGAACTCACTGCCACAAGGAATCATGACAACTATTAGCTTGCATGATTGTTCTCATCCCCAGCAGCACGGCACTGGGAAGAGAGCCATGTCGTTAAAGCTAGTCATCCTGTCCTTGCCTTGAGCCCCTGCAAGCTCATGACTGCATCTTTCCCCAGAGTTTCCATACCTCTCTCAAAATCCATTTCATCCAGAGTCTGGTGAACACCCTGCGCTGCAGTGGAGTGGCAGGAACAGATCCCATCCTTGTGGTGTCCCGGTGACCAGGTCATTGCCGCTCTTTGTCTTCCCAGAGAATTCTTTAGTTGGAAATTCTATTCAGGGGAAGACGTGGCTATGATGCATGGATCAACCCTTCTCCAGCACGTTGTCTAGAAAAAGCATGGCAGTTTCCAGAAGAAAGGTTTTATATTCACTACGGCCTGAAACAAAAACATAATTATGCAAGAAAAGCATTACTTCTTAGCATGTGATGGCCAACCATAACAATGCCCAACCTGTTAAGAACTGCTGCATCTTCTCTAAACCTTCTCTAAACCTGGGGAGGTCAACATGATCATCCAAATTCTCTGTGTGTGTGCGCATGTGCATGCATGCTCCCTGCTATCCCACTCAATCACAAATGCCAACCACATTTGGCAGTTTCCCACTGACACATGATTTTTGCCTTCTGCAAGGAAGAAATAACAGCACCATTGTTAAAGCCTTAAAATAAGCTTTAATTGGGGTCGCTGATGAGATGCTCAAGAATTATTTATTTATTACATTGAAGGCCCCAATTTAAAGCTTCTTGAGACTTCAGAGAATGGACTAAGTTTGTTTTGCCAAACCATGTGGCACATTTTCAGCTGTTAAGGAGAAAAAAGGAACTGATTTGGCTACCTATCAGCAGACTCATACCAGACCTCCTGCCTCCGTTTAATTATAGCTCCTCTGCTCAGTCTTTTAGGAATGGATGCCTTATTAAAGTAGGAAATGTAAATTACTAGCACCCTTCCAAGGCTCCTAAAAGTTAACACCCTTAATGCGTATCGTCCACACGCATCTCAATGCAGTAGCCATTAAAGTCACCACGGTATCTGCTACTTCGTATTCTGCAGTCATCTTCCATAAAAAGGAACTTTTAACACCTTTTAGAGCCATCAAGGTGAAGTTCAGCTCCAACTTTTTACAGCAAATACCAGCGTGGCCTGATGCTTAAATCAGAGACACATAAACTGGTGCAGAGTAAATCAGAGCCAAGGACTGAGGGTAATTACTGCAACATAATGTCGCCATGAAACAAAGAGATGCCTGTTACTTGGAAGAAAGACTAGGGCAAATCTAGACAAAATAGTAAAGCACAAAGACACAACGCTGGCAACAAAGGCGTGTCTTATCAAAGCCACAGCTCTAATAGCTATAACTTATGGCTGCAAAAGCCAAACTGTCAGAAAGGTTGAACAAATAAAAATGGGACCAGTCACTATTTCTAAGCCCCCGCTTTTGAAATGACCCTCACGGTATATTCTGGAGCTCTCAGAGAAAAGGCAGGATAACTAACTAATAAGAATTTGTGGTTCAGTTGCAGGGTACTGGATTAAGCAAGTCAAGAATCCAGCAGTTGTGCAACTGTTAACCTAGGTTTAAGGAACTGGGAGGGAGAGGCAAGCTCTGACTGCATTCATACAACATGTTACAACATGATTTATCAAACACACTACAATTGGTGGGGCTCAGGCAGCATGGTAAACCTTAAACTATGGTTTACAAACCATACTAGTTAGTTTGTACAACACACTGAGCCACAACAAGCTATATGCATCTTCTACATATCCAGGTTCTGACCAGGTTCACAAAGCCATCATTTGCTTAACGGTGGTTCATGAAACAGACTACAACTGGGACAGTTCACACATTACACTAGGCCAAAAAACCATGGCCTACAAACCATATTTAGCTGAGTTTATGCAACACCTCAAGTGAAAAATGAACAAGCCACAATGCAGTATGCACAAGGTTTGAGGCTGGCTTCTGGAATAACACACTTTTTGGAAGCAGTCACTCAGGTAATTAGGAAAAAGGCATGCCGTTCGTGTCACTAAAGCAAAGACTAAGCCATGGCTAGGTTCACATGACACATTAAACCAACTGCTGCTCACGTAACAGGCTATCCTGAAACAAACAGCTTAACAGGATAGCCACACAGTAATATCACAATGAGATTCTCACAACACACTGGCCCAGAAACCACCTGGATTCCATTTTAGCTTAGTCTAATCAGTGTTGTGGGGAGAGGAGAAAAACTCTATATTGGTGGATTTAATTTAACTTTAGTTCAACTTCCATTTAGTTAACATGTATGTAAAGTATCCCACAATCCCCCCCCCGCTGCATTAAACAGTCAATGTGCCCACAACCTTTGAAGGTCTATAGAGAAGGATACCCAAATTTTTCAGGGGAGGGAAGACACCTCAAAAGTAGCCAGCAAAATGGAGGGCAACCCTTCTTCGCAGTTCTGGAAC